ATATGGGGGATCACAAAGAGTGAACACATCCACACCATTGAGAACATTTTTTAACCATATCACCAGCAGTCTCCAGCAGCTGGTTCTAAGCATTCCAGAGACTGTAACCAGTCAGTCTACACCTCCCTACCTGGCTCAAACCAACATTCAAAGTCTTCATCTATTGATGCCAATTTTGCTGTGACCACCCGAGCTCTTTTCTAACACATTATTATGTCGGCTAATGTCGCTCGTTGAAGAAGGCGATGACTCGGAATTCTCAACACATGTGAAGTGAAGTTATTGAAAAGACATGTGAATTTAATTAAATAAATTGAAAATCCAATTAGACCCTAGAATCAATGATTAATTTAGGATTTGTACGTTAATTACTGCACTACATGAAAGAAGTCATTTTTCGGACTAGTGGTCGTTTAAGCGGAATTCTTTGACCTTTCTGCTTCAAATTTCACAATCTGTTAACTTGGTTACTTAACTAACATAAAGAAGCTCGATAAGCAACACAGGCTAGCGGGCTACCAATGAGCTCAAAAATGGGAGTCACCAACTTGCATCACGTAACACTATAAATTGTTTATCCGTTTGAAGATACTGTAATTCTTCTTCTTCTTCTTATTGTTCCCTTGGGTTCCTAGTGGAACATAGGGCTTCAACTGCATACCTCCACCTGCTTCTGTCTTCTGCTGTACTTTCCACTTGCATCCATGTTATTCCATACTGTTTCAGTTCCTCTTCACACGATCTCCTCCATGTCACCCTTGGACGTCCCACTACTCGCCGCTTCCCTTTCGGGTTCCACTCGAGCACTGGCCTGACGCGCGATGTCACCCAACGGCCTCCTCAGCAAGTGTCCAATCCATCTCCACTTTCTCCTGCATATTTGTTGGGCGACTGGTTCTTGTTTCGTTTGTTTGTTCCCATAGTTTCTTGTTGGTTCTTGTTCTTTCCGGCCATCTGATCTTCAGTATAGAGCGAAGACAGCTGTTGTTGATAAAGGTCTGCAACAGGCTGTTGGAAATATTCTTTGTGACCCGCCAAGTTTCTGATCCGTATAGAAGAACTGACTGACTTGACGTTTGTATTGAGAATCCGAATCACTTTGTTGTTGATGCTGAGTGACGAAGATTTCCAGATTGGTTTCAGGTTGATGATGGTGATGTTTCTTGCCTTCCCGATTCTCGATTTGACATCCTCGTCCGTTCCTCCTGTGGTTGAGACAATGCTCCCTAGATAAGTGAAAGAAGTAACCTCTTTCAAATCCTTCCCGTTGATGGTGATTGGCGCTGGATGCTGCTGCTGTTGTTGTTGTTGGTTGGTTATTTTCATAACCTCCGTCTTGTCTATGTTCACCTGGAGTCCTGTCTTTGCTGCTTCTTCGACCAGTTTGTTGGTTTTCGCTTGTAAGTCTTCGATTTTGTGTGACATCAAACATAAATCATCCACGAAATCCAGGTCTTCTAGGTTCTTCACGTCGGTCCAGGATATCCCTGTCTTCTCGTTTTCCACTGTCTGACGCATAATCCAGTCCACCACAATTAGGAATATCATTGGTGATACTAATCACCCTTGTCTGACTCCTGTGTTTACTCCAAACGCTTCGCTGAGTTTTCCGTTGTGGATCACTTGACATGTGCTGTTGTCGTACAGCTGTTGAATAAGGTTGATGAATATTTGGGGTACGCCGTTGTACTCGAGTAGTTTCCAAATTACTTCGCGGTACTGTAATTCTTAGTTTCGATTATCTCAAATCCTGGTCCCTGTGAAAATAAATTACGAGAATGTGTGAATGCCAAAAATAAATCCGGCCTAAACAAGGTTATACAAAGAGAACTATGTGCAGATAACTTAAACAGGAAATTCGAAGCCACTTTAAAGTCAGCACTACCATTAACGCATCTATAAAACTATATGGTTTATTAAGCGTTTCTAATGAAAGCAACTTGTCTAAATATTTAATAGGCTGACAGCGGATTAACTCTATGGTAAACCTTATCTAGGGAGGAAATCAGCTGAAAAACAATCGAAAACCTTAAGGCACTTGATAAATAATTTTTATCATTTTGAGGCATTCAATCAACAGTTTCTGAATGAATTAAACAGAGAAGCAGCTTTTTGAAAAGTATTATCCCACAACTATTTTTAAAGCCGAAAATAGGTTAGACGCATTCATCCTTAGAAAATTTCGTTAAACCTAGAAACATTATCAGAATCCCGAAAGCTGTACTGAGTGAATAAACTCGAGTAAGAAGCACTTTTATTGAAAGCAAATACTTGAGCAATTTTCAAAACTTATGATATAACTTTCATGAATGAAGGTGGATTACTTTATGATGTTACCTCACTGATTTCAAGGAATTTGATGACCGTTAAGTGAGCGAATATTTTAAGTAATCATGGCACAGCAAAATAAACATAAGAAATAAAATATTCGTCTTTTAAAACGCTTCATACGTATAAATCATATCAATGTGATTCTGTGAAATAGTCAGCGTTCACAGTATCAACATATGGAGTAACCTAGAATATATATATATATATAACGTATATGATTTCCTTTAGAATTCCTACCAGTCGGTGCACGTCAATAGTAAACAAGTGCGCTTACAGAAACGTATTATTTACAATTTTTTTATTATACAAAGTCCTCTAACTCAAACAACACCCCAAAATTATAGAGACGGAATTCATCTGAACAACCCGCAAAACATTATGCGAGAGAAAATCACTGAACATTTCCAAATAGATGAGGTATGACCAATATAAGAGTATAAAGACTGTCACTCTTCTAGCATGACAGCAGTCAAAACCATCCAGTGAAACCAACTAACACAGTTAATTGTTTGGAAGCTTTTGAATTTCATGATGTGAAATCTCCTTCATAAACCGGTACTGTTACTAGGCAAACAAATAATCACTCACTGTTGATGTAGCCTCAGTATCCCTGGGGAAATCTACATTTCGAAATGGGTGGTGTGTAACTAGCTTCTTGCTCCTGTCGAGCTCAATCATAAATTGAATTTTATCTTTCATTAGTTTTCATATATTTCGAACTCAATAACAATAAGAAGCAGAAAATGAGACCAACGAGAAGCCTTCCATAATATTAATTTCATCGAAAAAAATGGTCATTATCTCATTTGCATGTCGCGAATATTTGCAAAAAAATGTTTCCCTTTTAATAAACTTGTCTCGAATATCATGTGATCTAGTTTTCATTGATTTGGCATTTTTGCTTTTTCAAAGTTTAAAACACCACTTTATAGACGCAAAGTGCTTATTGTATTAAAATAAATTTATGCGAAAACACATCACATGGAATACACCATATGTTCGATTATCACGTTCAATGGTCAATATTGTGGACAAATATTTAACGAAAAAGTTCATAATACCTCTGTTTTTCGCCTAAGTAAATACAACTTACAAGTGTTGACGAATCTGTTTCCTGATGAATTACTCATTGTGCTTTTGAAGCTGAAATAATGGAGATTTGTGGCTTGGCTGAATGTTTGTGGTGTTATTGTGTTCTCTGAGGTCGATGGCTTATTTATGAAGCTTTCATAGTCCTTCCGGACAATATTTTCGGCGCCAACTTTAACATTAAGTGACCTCTGGGAATTCCCTCTCCTGTTGACCTTGAGTGTCATTCGTTGTTCTTGGAGATTTCAGTATGATTGCATCCATTGGCTTTGATACTCATCCTCCGATTGACTTGATATTTGGCTTATTGTTGGAGTATTGTATTCCTTATTGATCGATAAACCTTATCCGTTTCAACACGTCTTTCAAATGTCAACTGATCTGACTATCACGACTCTATGAATAATCTGGTGTTTTCGGTGTCTATTCTTTTTCTATATAATCCAACTTGAAGTGATATCCATATTTATCTATCTGGAACGATATAAACGAATGCATGTCATTTTTCTTGACTACTTGTTTGTGTTCATAAATAAAAAAAATGAAAAGGACGTCTGCTCAAGACAAATATATTGCTTTTTACAGTTTATGCGGTATCGCAATCAAAGTGCTCGGTAACCACTGATGAAATACTTGACGTTTCTGTGGTGATTTGGATACGCTAATTTATTTTCGTTATAATTAAATGAAATAGGCTTATAGGTTTCTTCTTTTATGTGATACGTTATTTATGGCAGTTGGTAAGATGAATTTTTAAATCCACGTGTTTTAATGAATGCAGTAATTAGATTCATTCATCACTGGGGAGTAATCATTGTTATGACGTCTTTCCCTTAATTCCTGTTGAATTCGATCATTCATCATCACTTTAAGAGACTGGTCAACGATGCACATTTATGTCTCTCATAAATCTCCTCTTCGAAAATATTTATTGATTTTATCTCGCATAATGTTTTGCGGGTTGTGCAGGTGAATTGTGTGTCTATAATGTCAAGGTGTTGTTTGAGTCAAAGGACTTTGTATCATACGAAAAACTGTAAATAATATGTTCCTGAAATCATACTAGTTTATTATTGACGTGTACTGATTTGAATTAGTTCTGTAAAATGTGGAGAACAGAATATGTGTATTCCTGGTGTGCCTTTATCTTCTTATAATTGCTGTTTTGAGGAGTTTACAGTGTTATCCATCTGACTGCTGTTTTGTAACAATCCCCGAGGAATTTAGTCCTATGACTTTAGTTGGCCAGAAGGAAATTAATCCTAACTAAACAAATTTATTACGTTTTTTCTCTCTTTCTGATTTTTTTTCTCATTGATTTTGAATTTTTCTCGTTTGTTTCGAGTTTCTTCTTATATACTGCTGAAAACTAGGACAACACAAGCAGTTCTTTCTTCTGTCAGATTTTTATGTTGAGTTTATTTTATAACGCCTAACTATAGAAATTCATCGTATGGAACAATTCTGATACCTTGAATTCACGTGGTTCATTTGGAAACTAATTTTCACGTGTAAAATAATGTTAGCAAGCACCACTCATAACATAACACAATTTAATTTCTGTTTTCCTTTTATTTTAGGCCGTATTTTAAAAAATCTTTCAGTGAAATTAATGCAGTTCGCCTTAGTTAAATTCAAAAAAACAAAAAAAACAATAAAGACTGAGACATTTCAACAATCAAAAGTGAACAAGGACCCTGTTTACACATTTCTACTGTTTTTCTGTATCTTTCTGCTTCCAACTTAACACGCTATTCAGAAAATCAAGGATTTAAATCAATTAATATATAAACCTACTGTCTGTACAGCAGTGTCTAGTAGTTTGTCGAAAACTTTTCTTAATTGATACAATCATCACCGTAACTGTCACCTGTATCACCACTAATGAAAAAGAAAATTTGTGTTGACAAGGTAAGTTACAGTTATATTTGTTATAATTACAGGGATAAAAATAAACCGCCATTCATAACACTTCATGATCACATGAAAATACAAATATCAAGGATCCAAGATACGTCATGTGCTTTCGTGTTTTCCTTATTCTTTGTTTATTTTGTTTTACTTTTCAATTATTCGTCATGCTGTCATTTTATTTTAGTTTATATTGAAAATGTGTAACCAAAGCTAATGCATTCATATTAAATATTGTTAAATGTCTTCCTCTTCTCCTTTCTAACTAGTTTGATGTTTCATCTTCAGGTACCTAATGGTGATTACTTTGAACTCCAGCCTCTTTTGCCATTCAAGATTTAGGCTGAAACATATCAGTAGTAACACATCTGTTTTTGCACAAAATTGGCGTCAGTTCTTCTCAAATTTCCACATACATCTTTTTGATGATAATTGTTGAGTCCAAGACTTCCCATCTATTTTCTCAGGGCATCTGTAAATAGTTCGGTTTAAAAATCAACAACACTGACACAAATCTGAAAAATCTTGGTTGAATTTTGTGCTTGAGCAGTAGGATACCTAGGTGAAAGTAAATAAGTACAACTGAAACTGATTTTACTTAAAATCACAAGACAAAAGGTCACTACAAGTGATAATCCATCACACCAGTTATAAATGGTTTTGCAGACTACAGTGAGTAACTTCTACTGAAAGTTGGTGAGCTTACGCATATTTTATGTCTTTTTTATTCACCATCACATCTGCTATGATGCATTCATAATTAAGATAGCACACTGTAGTGAACAGTGACTTCATTTGCGAAATACATTTCCAGGTTATATCCACGGAAATAAATCACCAACTTTATCAGTTACTTTATTTCACTTGCTAGCTTAAACCCTTGAATGTCATATAATACAGATTTATAAAAGTACAAGTCGACTAATGACTGTACAACAAAATTATCGCTTAACATAAATTTACAACTCACCATAACCATTTTATAAGATACTTAAACTTGGGATTATTTCAAAAGACATAAAACATGCAGACTAGAATGTCACTTGAAACGTCTTACAGATTCACAACTTAGATTAAATCACGAAAGTTTTAACTTAATTTTCTCACTACTTGGATGAAAAGTGTGACAGATTCAGCAGTATATATTCATACTTAAACAATTCTTATCTGACACTGTTCAGAATTGTATCAACTTTTACCATAAAATAATAATGATAGTTTTTATGAACTTGGAAATAACTAGACAAAGAAGGCTAAATCATGTGTTAATTAACAACGGTTGCACTGTGCACTTCATTTAGAATCTTTATTTACGCATTTTTGCATAAAGCTTGAGTTTTTAATTGATGAGGAATTTGGCATACTAAATACTTTGGGAGGATGAAACTAATTTAATACTGCCTTTGTGCGTGCTAAATAGACTTTGAAAGTTTATTATTACTCATTGCTTGTGTTCCTAGTGGAATATAGGGCGTCTGCTGTACATCTCCACTACACTTGCTCTCTTGCCATAATTTTCAGCTGGCTAAAAGACTGCCCGCAAACTTTCATTTCCATTTCATATGATCTTCAAGTTACCTTCTGATAACCAATCCGTCACTTTCCATTCGGATTTCATTCAAGGCTCATTGTGTGATGTCACCTGAAGGTTCCGTCAGTGTGTGTTCATCTCTGTTTCCTTATCCATGTTTTTTGAGTAATAAGTTGTTGGTTGATTCACTACCTACTAAAATTATTTGTTGCTTGCTTATCATTTCCGGCTGGCCATTTGAACCTCAGCACCTCTTCTGTCAACTTTAATATTTTAGCTTGTACTGACACGAGTTTGTGAGACACTAGACATAAATAATCTGTGCGTCGGTGGCACAGTGGTTAGGACTCTCGCCGACCATGCACATGGTCCGGGGTTCGATCCCCTGCCGGCGCACACCCGATATCTATGGTCGGTCTGTAAATTTGGGCTACCGATATCCATGCTGAAAATTCCATACTTGTACTGAAAATACGGTGTGGCATCAAGCTGTAATCAAAATAAAAATAAAAATAAATAAAACATCCAGATCTTCTACAGTATTTTTTTGGGTCGATTGTTTGTCTGTTTGTTGCTTGATCCAGTCAGCCACAGTCAGGAATATCATAGGTGATAGTAGGCAGCGTAGTCTTAATTCTGTCTTCATTTCCAAAGGTTTGCAGAGTTTTTCATCGCTAATCATTTGGCATACACCTGTTGAATGTTTAGTTCCATTATGGGTAAATTTTTTTTGATAAAGTCTCACAGTGTTATACAGTAATGTTTACTGATGACGTTTCGAGCACAAATTATTGCTCATAACCATATCAAGGTAATCACACGACTTCCTAAATTCACTTATATAGTTCCGTGGTTTTTCACTTGATTTGATTGGTAGTAATATTCTCCATATTTCGGGTATGAGTGATGAATCATTCTTATTGCATGTGTTGGGTGTATATTCGATGAACAAGGACTGTGAGGTCAACTACATAAGTCAAACTAGTAGGTCAGGGGTAGTCAGATTGTCAGAACATAAGAATTTAGCTAAGGTAAGAATGGTTGACCCGGAGAAGATAAGTAATTTAGAAAAAAGTTCAGAAATTGCAATGCATGCATTAGCACACAACCACACAATAGGGTGGGAGAGGGTTAAAATTCTAAAAAGTAATCTAGGTAGGTGGAGAGAGAGGTTGATTACTGAATCCTTGTTAATCGAATCTACACCCAACACATGCAATAAGAATGATTCATCACTCATACCCGAAATATGGAAAATATTACTACCAATCAAATCAAGTGAAAATCAAAAAAACAATGTAATTATATAAATGAATTTAGGAAGTCGTGTGATTACCCTGATATGATTATGACCGATAAATTGTGATCGAAACGTCATCAGTAAACATTACTGTATAACACTGTGAGACTTTAGATATGATAGAGAAGATTTGTAGCTCAGGTGGATGATTTTGATGTGGTTGTCCAGCTTAGAGAACACAACCACATCAAAAACTGTGAGACTTCATCAAAACAAAATTTACCCATAATGGAATTACACTCTACCACAGTGCACAAGTTTTATTCTTATATCAATGGTAGAATGTTTAGGTTTTAAATATTTGAGGTACTGCTGCGTGTGGTGCTGAATTAGTTGTCAATGACTTCCACGCCCTATACAGCAGCGACATGAGCAAGGCTGATGAGGCCCATGGGTACGTTTTCAGGGCCTCTGGTGGACTTCTTCCGGTCTCCCTGCCTCTTATTGACTCTAAGGCCTCCAGAAGTCATACTTTTATCGGAGGATTGGCAGTTATGTATATGTTGGTGATGCCTCTGGATGTACTGTAGGTAGTAATCGGCTAAGGAGTTTTTTAAAGTGGTCACCCCGAAATTTTCTGTATTCCACTTCATTGATAAAATGAGTTTCCTTCATTATCTTCCAATGGCTCTGTGTACGTTAAACTCTTCCTGATAACTACATGGTTGTTTCATGTAGTGTTGTGAGGTCTCTTCAGTACTAAGCCAGTTCTGCTTCAGATGTCGGTGTGTCGTAAAAGCGCATTTTGCTTCCTAGTACTCTTCTTCGCTTCTTTGTTTATTGCGCCCCAGATACTCCTAGGCTTCTTGTTTCTTTTTTCACTTTCTGTTTAAAAATCACCCTCTCCCTTATTAGCTTCCAGGTTGCCATGTAGAGCCACTTCTTGTCTTTTCTCTTCCTTCTTCCTAAATCGGCTGCACACATCTCCTTTAACATTACCTTCAGAGAGTTCCAGTGTACTTCCACTCAGGTCTCTTAAGCAATGCTACGTAGTGTTCTCGGCTTTGTTCTGATGATTGAAGATGTATTTTGTAGTTTCGTCCTTCAGTTTCTGAGTGCTGAACTTGAATTGTGGTCTATCTCCAGTTGTTTTGATGGCTCTCAGACTGAAACTGAAGGTTCTTTGCACTAGATAATTGTCTGAGTCCACAGCTGCTTGACTTTGTGTCCAGCAGACTGCGTATTCACTTTCCCGAGCACTACTGAGATGGAGTCTGTCTGTTTTTTGGTCTGCCCGTCAGGTGAAATCCAAGTTGCATTGTGTTCATCCCTGTGACTGTACACGCTACCTCCAGTCACCAAATCAAAAGATACACAGAAGTCTGTGAAAAGTTCTCCATACTCATTCATTTCTCCGAGCAGTAGCCTCTTGATCCATGATGAGTTTTTATTCTGTCTTCTACCTCCTATTTTGGCTTTCATTCATATCACCCATTAGAATTTGGATATCACCTTCTGGCTCGTCTTGACCACTACCAGATGTGACTGTTTGTAGAAGTCCTTCACTTTCCCTATACGAACTGCGATGTTTGTAGATTAAAAAAGCTGGAAAATCGTAACTTTCGATTATTTTCAGTTGAATCTTGATGTTATGATTGTAGAGGCGGTTGGTTCTTACTACATGAGATCTTTCAGTGCTGCTGACAGAATTATGATAGCCACTCTGTCAGTGTGCTCATGGTTGTTTTCTGGGTGACAGAGTAGACTGTCAACACGCCAGTTAACCATTTGGACTGTCCATTTCCATTCCATCTAATGAATTCATCAAATTTCGGTAGCACTCGTCAGCTGAATACTCTACATACACGGATATATATACTTTCAAAATTACATTTGGCGATATAAGACTG